TAAATTATTATTTTTTTTCCACTTTTACGGGGTAACGCACTGTATTAAATATGTAAGGTCATATCTATGTGGGTTTGATTACAGAAACTAATAAAGAATTTTCTAAATAATGAAAAAAAGGAATAAGATAAGACTACAAGAGCAAGAAGCAATTTAAGTATGTTAGGGGACCATTTTCATCTTCAGAATTAAGGATTATTTTAATCTTACATCATTGCTTTTCTCTTTTACTTTCCTTTTTAGTTTTATTTTAGGATTCCCTATTTTTAATGTTCATACAGAGATTTCTTTAACTGAAATACCGAATAGTTTCTCTGGTGTCAAAAACTATAATAGTACACAGGATCCTAATGAGATAATTAATAATGTGAAATAGGAAGTAAAAGGCTAAAGGTGTAGGGAAAGTGGGAAGGGTGGGGGAAAGGTAATAAGGGAGAGGAAAAAAATATGAGAAATTGAAAAAATGGAAATAAGTGTTTGCAAATGGGGAGGGGAGGAGGGGATGAAGAGCGGGCAGGGACAAGGGGAAAAAATGAGAATCAAGACCTATTATGTAAAGGTACAGGATCCCAATAATGAATGTAACTGTATTGTATACCTAGATTGTACCAATAAACTCAAAAAAAAAAAAAAAAAGAAACATCTTGATGGGGGAAGAAACAAAGATGCCATAAATGATAAATATGTAAATAAATCTACATATTAAAGGATGCACACATGTTTGTCTGATGACTATGTCAGTAGGTGAGAGGAAATTTTCATCTCTATTATAATTTTATGAGACTATCATATATGCAGTCCATCATTACCAAAATGTCATTATGTGCTGTACGACTGTATACAAAAAGATAATGAAAAGAATAGTAAAATCTAAACCTAAGATAGTTAATGCAACTATATTAATATCAGGAAAAAATAGACTTTAAAAAAAGAAATACAACTTCAGATAGAAACACAATAAACAGTAATTAAAAGATCAAGGAGAATATATGATAATCTTAAAATTGTATATGTACCTAAAATTACATACAAAATTATAAAATTGAAAGGACAATTAAATCCACAATCATAGTTGGAAATTTAACTTACCTATTAGTAACTAATGAGAGTAGTAAACTATCAATAAAGATATAGAAAATGTGAATAATACTAATCTAATTTAAACAATTTAACCTAAAGAAAATATATAATAAAACAATAGCAAAATGCATTCTCTATTCTAGAATACATTGAACTTTTACCAATATATAAAATACATTCCACCATTAACAGGCTTCATAGAACTTAAATCATAGGGTATGTTCTCTGCTCACACCTGAATTAAGCTAAATATCAATGAAAAGATTAGAACATCCCCAAATGTTTGCAAGATAACAAATGTATTTCTACATAACTCATGAATCAAAGAAGAAATCACAATGGAAAAGAGAAAACAATTTTAAATTCAAGTACTTTCATATATTGCTGGTGGTATAGTAACTCTAGAAAAAGTTTGATGCTATCTAATACAATTGAAGATAAAAATATCCTATGACTTAAAATTCAGCTTTTAGTGCTTTACCCAGCATAATTGCATATGCACTATATTCATAACTACAAAAGAAAGAAAAAATATAAATCTTCATTAAAATGAATTTTTGGCATATACAATATGCATGTGTTCTACTGTACAGTAATGACAATAAATGAATTTCGCAGAAAAATATGCATGAATTTCATAAGAAATAATAATTGAACATAAAAAAACAGATAAGTCAGACATGAAAGAAGACTTAATATGTGCTTGTATTTAGTTTAAATGCTAGCAAGATACATTTATAGGGTTTAAAATGGTATGAAAAAGGGCAAATGGATGCACCTTGAAATCACACTTTTAAGTGAAAGAAATCAGACACATGTTTAAATATAACATTGCTTCTATGGTGTGAGAAATTGAAAGGGTAAATAAGGATCAAAATGTATAACAGATATTGGGAAATAGGAATAAAATGTTAAAATGGGAAGGGGAATAATGGAAGGGGGAAGGGACAGAAAGGAAGGTATAACAAAAAACAGGCAATAGAAGGGAAAAACTGGAAACAAAGCTTCTGTAAATAAGGAGGGAAAGAGAGGTCGAAGAGAGAGGAGGAAATGGAAGGAAAAAAGAACAAACAAGATATGTACAGGTACAAATTCCTTATGATGAATGTGATCATTATGTATATCTAAAATGTACCAATAGAATTAATTACCAATAAAATTAATAAAAAATAAAATCATATGAAAAAGATACTGATTTAAAGGTAGCAAGGAAGGTGATGTATAGAGTTTCTGAGGTATGGCCCTGTAGTGGCTAAATATGTATGTTCTATGATTAGCTAAAATTTACTCATATTTTCTATATTTCTATGTATATACAATAAAATACTAAATGAGTAAGTAAAACTATCTTTACTGAAATAAGTAATACAAATACAACATTTTAAAACTCATGGGATGCAGTTAAAAGATGGCTTAGCAGGAAATTCACAGTCTTAAATACATATAAGTGAAGAATGTTTAAAATCCATGATCTAAACTTTTCTCATGAAGCTAAATAAGTATAAGGACAGCTCACTTAATCAGAAACAAAGTCACAGTACACATAAGAACAACACTTAGTGAAAGAGAAAATTAGCAAACTAGAAAAAATTCAAAACTACCAAAGAACATCTTTTGGAAATTTTAATGAAACTAATAAAATCTTTAAAGCCAGTTTAATAAAAAGGAAGAAAATAGGCTAATTACAAGGCGCAATCAAAGCATAGCAAATGTTTAAATTTTTTAAATGATATAATAGTAAAAGATACATGCCGTCAAAATAGTCCCCTTTGCTTGGAACTCATCCCATCATTCTCGACACTCTGAAGCAGTTATTAAAGCCTTTTGTGTCATGAGGAGGTGTGACTAAAAATATGATGAATGCCACTGCCAAGTGCCATTCAACAGAAAGGCAGGTTTGTAAAAACATTATACTATGTCCCCATCTTTCTCACTCACCAAATTTGGCACTTTGTGGCTTCTGGGTCTTTCCAAAAGTCAAAATGAAAATGAAAGGTAAATGTTTTCATCAATTGATTCAGGACATCCACTCAGCCATGACAAGGCAACTAAAGACACTGAGAAAAGGGAACTTCCAGGACTGCTTCAGAAAATGATAAGAATGATGGGATAAGTGTGTAGGGGTCATTAATGGTAATGTGCTTTTTACAGGGGCCAGGGATTTAGCTAAGTGGTTCTTCTGCCTGCCTTGCAAGTGTAAGGACACGAGTTCAATCCCTGGTACAGAAAAAAAAGTCTACAAACATTTAAACATTCATGTATATTTTGACCACACATCATATCAGTTTGAATTTTAAAACTAGGAGTCATAACAGATACTAAAGATATAAAATTATAAGTTGATAAGATCACATTTTTAAAATTTTATGAGCAAATTTTAAAATTTACATAGAATTCTAAAAATATTCAAAAAGCACAATGTAATGAAGCTAAGAAAGGGGATGAGAAAGCCCAAACAATCCTTCCATATATCAGGTTTGCACTGAATCTATGACATAAAACAACCCCAAAGGCTCTCGGACATATAACATTCTCCCTTATAAATCTGCATGTTGATCTATCAAGGTTAGCTGAAATTGTCTAGATTTTTCTCTAAATTTCTGAGCTGGGTTTATTGTGCCATATATTTCTTCAATCTGGAAGCATACAGCTGTGTGATGAAATATTCTCAAAGGAGATGACAGAAAAGATCAAATGGGGTGAAGGGAGGGCAGGGATATGGGGAAAAAATAAGAACCAAGATACATCATGTAAAGGTACAAGATCCCAATAATAAATGTAACTGTATTATTTACTTTAAATGTATCGATAAACTTGATGGGGAAAAAATGAAAGATCAAACTAAACCCATTTAGATATGATTAGAGACTTTCCTAGGAAGACATTTTAGACCTAGTCAATCACTTGTTTAGGAAGACGCTTATATAAAATCTTTCTGAGCACAGAAAATGAGAAACCTCTCCAAATCAATTTATAAGGCCATTATAACCTCGATAACAAAAACCTGATAAAGATATGCAAGATGGCAGGATAGGTAAATGTCTTTCATGAATTAAAGAAATTTATATCAAATCCTATAGCAAATCAAATAGATGGCAGTATAATAGACTTATACATCAACACCAAAAAAGCTATTATTAAACACAATGGTATAAGTAATATTGGTAATGGTATTGGTAATATATTTGTTGAATGAAAAAAGTGACATACAAGAAGGTATACACTGTATATTCCATTTATAGAGAGTTTTAATAGAAGCTAACTAATCTGAGTTGATAGAAGATCTGGTACCACAGGAGAGATTGATGGGGAGAAGTTATCAGGAATCTTATGGAGACTGTCAATGTTTTCTATTTTGACCAGGGCAGTGGTTACACCAGTTCATTTATTTATAAAATTCTATTGCACTATACCTTTAAAATTTAAGCATTTTACTATATGCATGGTAATCTTATATTTAAAAGCTCCCACTAATACTTATGACTTCCTGAGATTTTGAATATGTAGTTATTAATTCTCTTTCACTTTCAAAATCCATGACTCTACTGCCAACTTTCAGTAGTTGATTAGAATCTTTACTATGTCTCCTTAACAACAGTAGATCAACACTAAAAACAGAACTAAAAGCTTTAGATAATATAGAATACATCTAAAAATAGCTATAACAGCTTAAGTGAAAAACATTTAAAAGACCATAAGCTAAATGGCCAGCAATTTTCTTGCAAATCTTTGTAGTGAGAGGTAAACTAGTGTTTTAATTAGAAGAATAGCCTACTTTATACCAGGGGCCAACAAAAACAAAAACAACTAAAGCTGAAGTATTACAAAGCCAAGTTGGTAGATAAATATATGATTTTCAGCTCTGGAGAACAGCTAATCTAAATGTCAAATTATGTAACTGAATGTTTTACCCTCCACAGTTTCAAAGAAGTAGAAATGCCAACAGTAGAAATTTTCAAGTTTAGACAAAATTTATGAAATAGAAAAACCACAGTTGAGACTGAAAATCTGTGTTCTAGTTCTGGGTAAGTCATTTGCTAGCCACATAATTTTGGAAAAGTCATTTAAAGTGTTTATGCTTTTATATCCGCTTATAAAAATGGTATTAATATTATGTACTCCCAATATTATAGGTAGACTATGTATACAGTGGAATTAAATTTTTGTAATTATTATCACTATTATTCATTTCCCCATTTTATTTTTTCAATATTTACTATTAGGATGGTTTCTGAAAGCTCTTGTTCTAACCCAAATTATTTGGAAACTTCAAAAATCCACATGGATTCCTCTGGGCAAATGAAAACATTGGAATTGTATGCTAAAAATGTGCTGTATTTGTATAACACATCACAGGAGACAAATTGAGATTATTCTCTTTTCAAAATGGAAAATTCTCCCTAAACAAAACTTTCCTTTAAATTTGTTGCTTGAAGAAAAATAAGGCATTATTATAGGATCATACCAATTCAATGTTAGCTAGAATTTCCAAACTTATTACCTCTGTCAAATGTAGCAAGCCTATGAGAACGCCCCAATTTTCAGTTTCATTGTGTTTATCCACATCCAAATACCCCATGTCACTAAGTCATTCTCTCTAAACTCATGTTGCCCAACTCTTCACTATTAAGCTGTTTCTGACAGCTTTAATTTACCAGCAACCCTAACTAGATGTAGAATGCTTTTCCTCTTCCACCAGCCTGATTCATTCCTACACATGTTCTGAGACTCAACTGAGGTGTCACTTCTAGGAAGCTTATTTAATTCTCAAACACACATAGGTACTTTCACTGTGCTGCTTCTGCAACCTGCATGTCCCATTTCAGCATTCATCACGCTACCTTGTGAAATGCTTATTAACTAGAAAGTACCACGAATATTCTTTAAGGATAAGCCATCTTTGTCTCCTTTGCAATGTGGCATTCAGTGGGCTCCTGTTGTAATGTTTGCTAAATAAGTGAATAAATGAGTGAATGTATAAGTGAATAGATGAATAAATTAAGTAATATCTGATTCTCTTTCACTGGCTTCCATAGCTTTCTTCTTGTCACTTAGGTCTTCCTGGATTTTTTCCTTCCATCTATAAAAAAAAACCTACTCATCTTACAGCTCCTACTACAGCCCTACCTTATACATATTAGAGTATAAGCACTGAGGACATAATAAAAAACCTTTACTTCCACTCTCAAGGATCTTACAATTGATTAGAGAAGAGGTAAATACAAATAGTTCCTGTGGTATAACATTACCAAGACATGGCAGAGTGAAGTACAAACCCCCATAATAGTGACAACATAAAATAATATAAACAAAGCCCAGATGCAACCCAGTATACAGAGTATACAGAATATGTCTAACAAGGGCTAGGGATTTGGCTTAATGGTTCTACTTTCTGCCTTGCAAGCACAAGGGCCTGAGTTCAATCTCTGGTACCACAAAAATTAAATAGATAAATAAATAAATAAATAAATAAATAAATAAATAAATAAATAAATATGTCTAATGGATTCTAAGCTTCCTAATAGTTTTGACAATCTGTGACTCTGTGAGATTTTAAAATATTCTTATATAACTTTTCCATGAAATGATCCTGGCCCTGTGAGTTGCCCTCAGTAGGCAGACAGAAGGATAAAACCCTCAGAGAAACTGAATTGAGTGCTCTTGGCTTATCAAAGAGGAAAAATATGTACCTAGCTGCCATAAAGTACAGTAGTAAGTCCTTGGGAGATGAACTTAGGACAGAGACTCTTTTCTGTCAACACTGTCAGAAGCAACCTCAGTCAATGTCACAAGTAAACTGAAATCTCAAGAAAAATATGTTGTTGCTTTTGCTGAAGATGATAAGGCCCTAGTAATCATGTAGTTCTGTTAGACCCCACACGGGATGTGGTCTTATGTTTTAAAGATCCGATATCTTAGAAAAATTACCCTGGCAGGTCAGCATTTTAATGATTTCTATTCCTCCCTGTTTCCAAGACAAAGACATTCCATAAAATCCAAGGCAACTCATCTCTTTCAATTAGTTTCTCCAAACTATGATTCCCACCCTCTTGCTTTTCTCATTTTCATCTAATCACTTTTCTGTTCCATTGCCACACACTTAGACAAGTTTCATTCACTTATGTTTAAAACATTTATTGAGTTCTTATTATATGACCAATATGAATTTCTTGAAGTTAGTCATAGGTGTACCGGGGTGGGGTGGGGGAACAAATGAACAGTCAGGGAAGAGGAGAGAGTTTCAGATAGGAAAATACATACAACGATCACAAGTTAGAAAGAGTACTCAAAGAATTAAGAATATCTCAGAATGGCTAGGATATAGAAGATGGCAGAAAAGTTGCAAAGGGATGAAACTGGTAAGCATGGTTTGACTGCCTATAAAACAGATGATCTTGATTTTGCCTCTTATTAGCTATGTGACCAATTTCTTTATCTGGAAGATGGAAATAAACACTCCTTCTGTCTATAGCACTTGGTGCCTAGCATTTAGGGGGTACTTAAATGTTCATTGAATTTGCATCCTGGTACAGAAGAGGGGAAAATGGAACTAGAAAAAATAGAGACAATAGAATTGGACAGTTTCAACTTCATGTGATAAAAAAGTGGATTTTTTTAGTAGTCCAAAGTTTCTAGTCTGGCATTTTCTGAGATGATAGACCAAAATTCAGTCCAAGTAACCAAATCCTGTGGCTATTATGCTTTCCTAAAATTCAGGGTGTGGAATCACCCCAGCAGCTTCCTTATCCCTCGTGTTGTGAGTTGTGCACAGAGCCCTAAGAAAGTTGCCAGCCATGAGATTCTTTTCCCCTCCAATGCAAACACACATGGCACAGGCATATGATTCCCATCTGGATCCACCCCCGACTTCCGGCCAGGAGGCTGCTGTGTAGGCAGGAACGTCTGCTTTTGAATTTGCCAGCCTAACCTGGCACCCTAAGCTAGCCTTCTCTAAGAAGTAAAACACAGAGCTGGCAAAGCTCACACTTACGTAAATTCTTTTCAGAATCTTATCCATCTCTATTTCTTTCTTGCCCTGGCAAAAGAGGTTGATCTAGGCAAGGAATAAATCTGCTCAGATCAAATAAATGGGTCATTATTTCTGGAAGAGAACAGATAGACTTTCATTTAATCCAAGGAACAGATGCGGGACCATGAGGAGAATGGGCTGAAAGTATCACCCATCACCCTAAGGCCATTAGGTCCAGGGGTTGTTATTCAAAGCAAAAGATCCCCCTCTGGTTCCCTGATGGCATCAGTCCCCAGCCACTCAGAACTATTACTATCATTATTCCTGCTGGATTCTATGCCCCAGTCAAATTGGCAACATTCCTTCTATTTGCAAACAGATTGCAAAATAAGAACCCCAGGAAGAACACAGGCTGGCCAGCCTCCAAGGACTTTCAGCAGCAATAACTCTAAATCAGAGCTGTGTCCTATCCCCAAACAACAGCAGGTGCTGGCATTGCTTCCCAAAGGCCTGGATCATCAGGATACCTGGACTCTTTCCTTTCTTCCCTCCCTTCCTCCCTTTCTCCCTCCCTCTCTTTCCTGAAATAAGCAGCTTGGGAAAGAGAGGGGAAATGGTCATGGAATTTACAAGGAAGATTCGTGATTGGGAGTCTTAAACTTTTCATGAGTTTTTTGACAGGAATGATTTATCTTCATGAAGGCTAGCCTGGCACATAGAAATTTTACTTGAATAATTTTCCTTCAAGGTTTTAACCTTTCAACTTTTTTCTCTCTCAGTCTGGTATTCACAATCCTGTACAATCCAGCCACTTGTTATGTCCTACTTTCTGTTTTGAAGTAATCCTGCACAAACTCCCTTTATTCAGGTACCTGCTTTATTTTCAAACATGAACAAAGATTAAAACAACAATAACTATGGCTACTGCCATTTACAAGCTGTGTTAAGTGCTTTATACATATTTTCTAGTTTAATCATAAAAAATCTAAGAAGTCTTTATTTATATTCCCATTTACATTTGAGTAAATTAAGACTAGGGATTATAAGTAACTCACCTATGGTTATAAAGTTAATTTGTGAGCTATCTGTACTGAAGTATCATTTATTGTTTAAAAATATTTTTATAAATAGATCCTACTGTCTCCCTTTTAAAGGTGATGGGATATTATAGTTTGTGTCTAGATGTCTCCCCAAAGCTTCATGTGGTCATAGGGCTTTTTTACAGGTGCCTGAATCTAGAGTGTGTGATGCTGGGATTGAGGATGCGTGATTACAAAATCAGCCCACTGGTTGGTCTGGCACTGCCTAGTATTTGAAGTTAGTTGCAGTTAATATCATTTAACTCATTAGGTAAAAACATTTTATTTATTTCAGTAGACTGGTTGCTTTTTCTTCCATTCCAAAATATATATTAATATCATTTCTGTTCCTATCATATTAGTTAGGACTTCCTGTACTTACAGTGTTGAATATGGGTGACTCAAGGTGACATTCTCCTATTGTATATGGTCTTACAAAGAAAACATCAAATTTGTAGTCATTAAACAAAATGTTAAGTATATGCTTTTGGTAGAAGTCCTATCAAATTGAGGACATTTGTCTCCAGTCCAAGTTTGTTAAAAGTTTTATTTTATGATCATAAATGGGCATTGAGTTTAATCAAATGTATTTTGTTTATTAGACTGGGTTTTAATGCCAGCTTTTTCCACAATTTTGTGACCCAAGTCAGTTAACTTTTTTCCTTAATTGGTAAAATAGGAAACAATAATGTTTCTTGGGGACGCTATGCTGAGATATAAAAAACAAAATAAAAACAGTGGGCTAGATATATGACATTAAAAAATGAGACAAGAACACCTTTGTCTTGGGAACAACTGGAGAGAAATATGTATTTTCTAGTGATTTCCTAAACAAAACACTCACAGGTTTATGTTAATAGACTCTGCTCCCCCATACAGGAGTCAAGGTGATTTTTTCCAAAACACAAACTGACCATATATCACCACTTTTGAGAGCCCTTGTATTCATTCCTATTTGCAAATATTCCAAGCTCTATCATGGCATTTTGTAGATTAGGTAATCTTTGTCACACACATGTCCAGATTCATTTCCTCCATTCGTGTGTTCTAGGTGAGCCATGATACAATGATAGCTAACTCATTGTACTATTCTGACTGATGCCTTATCAAATCTCTGCTTATTTTGTAATGTTCATTAATGAACTTTGGAATCCTTCTCCGACACTGCGGTAAGAAAATTTTCCTTTATATCTAGATCCTCTATGCTATTCCATTAGTCTATGTACTATCAAGGTGTCTGTTTTTGTGCCAATACCACACTATTTTGATTATTACACCTTTGTAGTATCTCTTGAAAGTAGGTAGTACAATGTCTTTTTTGTGTGGGCAGTGCCATATAAATTTTAGGATTGTTTTTCTAGTTCTGGGAAGAGACTTGTTGGTGTTTTGATAGGAATTTTGATAGGAATTGCACTGAATCTACAGATCATTTCGGGTAATATGAATATTTTAACAGTATCGATCTTTTAAACCCATGAAAATAGAACATCTTTCCACTTTTTATTATCTTCTTTGATTTTTTCATCTTTGGTTAAATCTATTCCTAGGCTGCTGGGCTGGCTTACTTTTTGTTTTCCTCTTTCTATCTTTCTTTCTTTCTTTCTTCTTCCTTCCTTCCTCCTCCCTTCTTTCCTTCTCTTTCTTTCCTTATTTCGGTAGATGTTGTAAATAGGATTGCTATCTTGGTTTCTATTTCAGCTAATTTGCAATTGGCATATAAAAATGCTACCAAGATTTGCATATTGATTCTGTACACTGACACTACTCGAAAGCATTTATTCTGATAGTTTTTAGTAGGGTCTTTGTGGTTTTCTTTATATAAGATCAAGTCATCTGAAAAGAGTGAACTCAAGCATCTATAGCCACATGATTTTTAACAGAGGTGCTAGGGATGTACAGTAGAGAAAAGACAGTCTTTTCAATAAATGACACATGGAAATCGGAGTGTCACATGCAGAAGAATGAAACTAGATCCTCTATCTCTTGCCAGATATAAAACCCAACTAAATATAAGTAATCATATTATAAAGCTACTTGGTGAAAACAAAGGGAAAATATTTCAGAACATTAATATGAGCAAGGATATCTCCTGACAAGATGTACAAAACACAGGAAACAAAAGCAAAATTAGATAAATGGGACCACACCAAATTAAAAAGCTTCTGCATGGCAAAGGAAACAATCAACAGAATTGAGAGACAACTTACAAAATGGGAGATAAAATGGGAGAAATATTTGCTAACAATATGCTGACCAAGGATACCCAAAATATACAAGCAACTCTAAAAAGTTCAACAATAAAAAATAAAATAACCTGATTCCACAGGTAGGAAAAACCTAAAGAGATATTTCTCAAAGGAAGACACACAAATGCCCAACAGATAGATGAGAAAAGCTCACCCTTACTAATCATCATAGAATTGAAATCAAAACCACAATAACATAACACTTCACCCCAGTAAGAATGGTAAATATAAAAAAATTTAAAGATAAACAGTGTGTGGGGGGTGTGTACACAAAGGTAATTAAATCAGTATGCCAAAGAAATATCTGCACTTTCATGTTCACTGCAGCACTACTCATAATAGTCAAGAATTGGAAAAAACCCATGTGATGAAGGGATAGTAAACAACTTTAGCTAATGAACAGATAGTGAAAATGTGGAAAATACACACAATGGAATACTATTCAACCATAAAAAGAAATGTCATTTGTACCAACATAGATGGAACTGGAGATCATTTTGTTTAGTGAAACAAAACAGGAAGACAAATTTTGCATGGTCTCACTAATATGTAGAATGTAAAGATATGCAGATCTCATATAAAGTGAGAGAAGAATGAGAGGGATTGTCCATACTGACTAATAGGTACTAAGTCACAGGTCAGAGTAAGAATTTCTGGTGTGCTACTGCACAACAGAATGTCTCTAGATAGCAATAATGTACTACAGATTTCAAACTAGAATAAAGGCTTGAAAGGTGTCACCATAAAGAATTGGTAAATGTTTAAGGAGAGACATATGCTGAACCTAATTTAAACATTACACAATGCACATATGTAATGAAACATTACATGGTACTTCACTGATGTGTACAATTTTCTTGTTAAGAAATAAGAAGAAACTCTCCCCCTGTGCTTCCACTGCTCTCCCCTGTGCTTGCCTCTGCTATAGCTTTAGCAACTGTGATATCACTGTCTGGCTATTATCTGTTTCTCCCAATAAACTGTGAGTTCTTTGAGGACAAAGACCATGTCTTACTCATTTGTGTTATAGAATACGTTATCACATGTTTGCTACTTTATTAAGAAAAGTCCACATATGACCTTTGTGTCAGCATGCATTATGCAGTAATCAGTATTTCTCATTTCACAGTATCATGTCTGATGAGAGACATCAAATTTTTCCTGGTTGTGGAGCAATCAGACCTTCTGCTGCTTTCCTCTCCAGAAAAAAATGTAGGCAGTTCTTCTTTGCAGGGATGCTTGTAATTCCCTCCCTCCCTCTTTTCCCCCTTTTTTTTTTTTTTTGGCAGCAATTCAGCTGAGGAGTAGTAATTATGAGAATATCTACACTACAATTATTGTAGCACTTAACTCTGTATTGACATTTATCAAAGAAATAACTCTTGGAATTGAAGAACAATGGTGTGTTTTCTGTCTTTCTTTCATGTGCACTTTTTAAACTTCAAAGTCTATCATCACTTTTGACATATGTCTTAACAGTTTTGAAATACTAAGATTTCCTATTTTTGGAGAAACTCTTGATACATAAGAAGTATTATATTGAATTCCAGCGTGAGTTATTTAGCTAGAAAGCATGTGGGAATTTATCACAGGAAGAATCCTTGACATGGCAACTGAAGAAGGCAGGCAGGTACCCAGGGGAAATCTAGAGGTCATCTGGCTGAAGATATTTATCAATGCCTAATTCTGTCTAAAACACAGGATGGGGCTTGGAAATAGGCAAAGATGAAAAGGAAAATTCATCCTGACTACACTCGCAACCACATTATTTATCCAATATTCCATAAGTGGCTGGTAGGTTGGAGGATATCTAACTAAAATGACTCCCTGTTCCCCCTCACCACAGACATACAACTCTGGACCTCACTCCAAATATCGGAAGAAAATGTACAATACCTATTCAGTAAAGCTGTTGTTAAAATCAAAATGAAAATGAGTAGTGTGTGTAATACCACTTTTAAATTATAAAACCTATTAATGTTACAATAATAATTACTGAAAACATTTTCAAGATTTTTCCAATTTATTATTGTTTATTACTTTGCTCAGAAGCCAGCATCTGAGAATATAAAAGCATAGCATGATTATTACAATTATTATAACTACATAAGACAATGAAGATTTGTCAGTATAGTATGCTTATGGTACTTACACATTTTTTACTATGTTGAACTAATTTACTAACTGTACTTAGGTTTCATGAGCACCTTCTAGATGTCTACACTGTTCTAAGCATTTTAAAGATACTAACCAATTTAATTTCACAAAATAGGTGCTACTATATTTATTTTATAAACAGGAAACTGATGCAAGAGAAGTTAAATAACCAAAAGTTATCAAGCAGAAGAATTGACATTTGAATTCAAGCAGCAAGTGCACCTCAACTCTTGGAGTAACTATACTGAATGAAATCAGTTTGTCTTAGTTTCTGATATTATACTGGCATCTTCTTTGAGCTTCTCTTTAACTCAATCAATTGGCATATAAAATTATATCCACATTATAGGATATATGACTATTTCTTGC